ATGTACGGGTAAAGTGATTCCAAAAAGAACAGCAACGTTCGGTGAAGGGGGGAAAAACGGAGGCAAGAAATTCCTCCCTTTCACTCGAAGCCAGAGGTCGCTCATGCTGTTGTGTTACACGAAGATACTGGCCACCCAACTGGCACATCACATCAGTTTTAGGCAGGAATGCCAGAGCCCTGTGGGCTTGTATGTACAAGTCCACATGATGGAAGCTGCCAAGAGGCCAGGGACGACCCAGACCGTGTGAGCCGAGATGGCAAAGGCACTGGGCCCCGCCACAACGACACAGGGTCACTGACAGAGGCGGGGAGGGCATGAGCCGTCCACCTGAGGGGCATTTCAAGGTCAAATCTCTGCATGGAGCACAGCTCCCCCTGGGTGACTATGATGATGTCTTCCTAAAAGAGGGCTTGGCTGGCCTGCTCTGTAGCACCTTCTTGCCAGGAGAGGGCGCAACGGCTGTGCCTGGCACCCTCAGGAATGAGGAGCAACAGAGGAAACTACAAAGCCAAGGCAGCCCGGCTTCACATGACCATGAGCGTTCTCAATAGGGAACCAATCCCCGCCCCCACCCCCCAAGAAACACCACCACCAAAACGGGGCGTTTTCAGCATGAAGGTTTGAAAATGAATGAGAAGCCACTAAGCCTTGAGCTCAAATGCCAACGGGAAGATGCGTTCACTCACCCCACTCTAAGTGGACTTCTTTGTGCTTTGGTCTACCTGAAACCCTCGGCGGCCGGCACTGCCCGGGTGCAATGCTTAGTGTGCGGACCGGGAGACTTTCAGAGCACTGCAGGAGAAACACCGGAGAGAGGGAACCGTCTCTTAGTGCTGCGAACGCGCCAGGCTGCCACATGCCAGGCAAATCCCAGCCCGTCACTGCAAGTGTTCCCCAAGGGGCCGGGTCCTGAAGACACACGCACCTCAGGAGACACTTGTACCCTCTGAGCGGGGAGTGTGTGTGTCTACTGGGGCTACACACACTGCGTGTGCAACTCGTGAACGTCAGAAACGATGACGTCTCAAGTCAGCCCAGTCTCTAGGGAGGTGGTATAGCGTAGGCCCACAATGATTTTCCTCCACACGGGAAATAGGAAAACCTTCAGGAAGAAGGGAAAGGACACCACAGCCAAGGCGTGACATTCTGAAACGGTGTCATACTGGCCAACCATCGGTTTTAAGAAAAACCAAGTCAATATGAGTCAACCGAGTCTAACACCAGCCAGCAGGTTGGGTGGCTCATAAATAGGGAGGCTTCTTCTCTGGGGGATCTGGCTGGACTCACACAGAAGCTGACCACGGCTGACATTCTGAGATGGCGAAGACAGACAGACCTCAGGAACTCCACCCAAACCAAACCTTCTTCCTCCCCGGGGGAAGCGATGTGGAAGAGATGCGTTTTTTAAAGAGCCAAGCGGCGCACACCCCCGAGGCCACCTCCCACAGGCCCTCCCACACAGAGGGGTCTCCCACTAGCCCTTGGGCTTTGCCATGGGTTTGTCCCAGCCTGGGGAAGCCTTCTGCAGAGCTCGGGGACCGTGTGAGAATAGGCTAAGCAGACGTTCCTCTCAAAGGCATCCGTTGGTCTAAACGGGCAATCCTGATGCCACCGCCCACTGCCCTTGGCAGTAACAGGCAGGAGCAAAGCAAGTCAACTACAGGCAGTGCCGGGGCGTGACAGGTCAGGCGCCCAGGTAGAGAGAGATGGTTGGGAAACTGATGGTGGGAGCAACTGTACAATTCTGCCTGACCTGATGGAAACAGGAAACGATACGTGATAAGGATTAAATCCCAATGAATAAAAATACACAAACAAACAAGGAAGCTCCAAGTGCAAACATACAAAGTAGATATCCCACTTTGTGGCAGGCACCCTCCTGAGAAGCCTAGCCAACGCACGCTCAGACGACACCTGTTCTCTCCCACGACGCAGCGATGGTTCTGAGACAGACGGCTAACTCTGCCTACGGTGAGAACGCTCTTTCCCCTTCTTGCCTCATACCCTGTGCTGAAGTGAAAGCCGTTCTGAAAACCATCGCCTGCTTCCAGAGAAGCCCGCGGGGGATTCAGCACCTCTAAGAACACTGTGGTCAACATGGAAGCGGCAGCTCCCGCACGTCATCATGGGCCTAAAGTCATTCCGGTGGCACACAACGGACGAGGCTTGCTGTCCATAGAACCCCAGGAAGCGCCCTTCAGCTCCCACAGCCGGGCTTCACTGGGAAGCTTTTACAGCTCCTTCACCAGATGGCAGCACGCGACCTCCAGCAGAGTAACCTCAGATTCCCACACAGGTGCCAGCTAAGGTACCAGCACAGCTGGGCAGGAGCCCATCTCTCGGAAGCCTACGCTCTCCCGTTACTGCAATAACTCTGCGAGCCACCCCACTCCTCACCCACCTCCTTTCCTTAGCTAATGCAAATCCCGGACAACGCAAAACGTCCCAAGGCCAAGCCACAGTCTCCTGAGCCATGCCTAAATGACAACGGTACTGAAAAAGTGCTGCAATTCAGCGGAGATCAGTGGGGCCTATCGTTTCTGTTCTCTAAGGTGCAGCTGCAAACAGCTCTGATTTCTCATTCCCTCCTGTGGTGCCAGGGGGCAACTTCACCTTCCAACAGACGGGCTAGCCCACGATTTTACACAGCTGCTAGCAACACGACCAGATGCGTAGGTCCAGACGACGACCAACCTGACTGTGTCCGCCCGTACTGATGCAGCACGCTCGGAGCCGGTACAGAGTGCCTGGCTTCAACTGGGTGAGGGTGTGCTCTGTAGCCGCTCCGCTGTAGGCCACCTCCCACTGGCTCGCTGTAAAATAAGGCGTGGGGATGAGTTTGTGCCTTGTGCAGACATGCAGAGCAACAATCCACTGCAGATGCAAAACAGCCCCAAGTCATTCCCAGGAAAACCAGTATTCTCCACTTTGGGTTTTTGTTTTAAATAGGCATAGGGCTCTTTCCCCACCCTTGACTGGGATCACATGGGGCCATTTTTTAATACTTGGGACTATGGGCTGGATTACTCAGTGCAGCGGTTCTCAACCTGTGGGTCTTGAAACCTTTGGGGGTCGAACAA